GGGGCTGTTTCCCCCCCTCCTTTTGGGGGGGGCCCCCCCCCCCCACCTCACCATCGTTCCTAGATCACCCTGTAGTTTTCAGCCAACTGCTTTGTTTGAGAGACTTTCGGCTTTTTTCCTCTTCCCTTCTGAGGCCATGGGCTTTCTGAGCCTTTGCACTTTGAAAGGAGCATCCAACCGCTCTGGGTTTCTCCTGGGTGCTGTTTGGCGTCTTTCCTGGACATCTCCTCCTGCAGAAAAGCCGTATGTCCATGGCTTCTGCCTTTAAAAGCATTTGAAGAGGAGAGGAGAGGGAGCCCTGTCTTCTCTGTTAGCGGTTCTCTCAACCCCTGCCTGCTGCTTCGGGGGAGCCCCAGGCACTGCAGCGTCGGGTTGCTGGAAATCTTAAGAAATCTGAGCTCATTCAAGGGGCAGGGGGAGATGGAAATGGTTAAATCACGCAAACGAACAAGTTAATGATTTCCATCCCCTTGCTGGCATGTTTCAGTTTTGGGAAGGGGGGTCTGGCCAGCAGCTGTGCCAGCAATTGTAGCTGAAAAAGAGTATTTTCTTTCTGTGTCAGCTTTCATCCGTGGCCCCTTTGGATTCCCCTGACACCCACAGATGCCAGAGTTTCCAGGGCTCCTGCTGCTGCGAGCCCCTGTGACTGTTTTCCCTCCCGTACCGGGTGATGGAGTTAGATGACGATGGGGGAGGATGAAGAAGGCACTGTTCGCTCCCTGCTTGCTTCCTGCCCCATCCTTCCCCAAGCAGAGGAGAGGCTTTTTTCCCACGATCCAAGTGACTCGGCAGCACTTGCAAATGGAAGGAGAAGCTGCAGCTTCTGTGCCTTTGAATCCAGGAGAGCGGGGGAGCAAGTCGGGGTACAGCTCGGGGGAAGATCCAGCAAATAAATATCTGTGGCTGAGCAGTCCTGCAGGCAGCTTCGGATGCAGGAGCCTTATTGTATAATAAGGATTGCATATTGTAATATATACATATATATATATATATATATGGCTTACATATTATTATATATTGTAAAATAAGCTGTATTAGAATAAGCCCAGACATCATGTGTCCGGTTTCTGGCTTCTAAAGGTCACCAAGCCCCAGCAGCAATCTCACAGGAACGGGTTGTCCCTGTAGCTGTTGTTTGAGCTTCCCCTCGAGGGATGGTGCCCGTTGTCTCCCAGACCACTTTCCCACGTGAGGAGCAGTAACTCCTTGGCATCTCCTGAGTGCTGGGGCCCAGTTTGCCCAGTACCCAGAGAGCCCTTTGTGTGATACCAGGTTAAACCCAGCACTGCTTTTCTTACCCACTGCAGGAACACATCGGTTGAGCTCTGCTATCAGGAGCATCACCTTAAATGTGTAGCACCTCCCTGCCTTCCTACCCACCTTCTCCAGATGCCTTTTCCTATTGCAGGCGGTGGTGGAAGCACAGAGAGGGAACATCTCAAATCAGGTGAAGTATAAAGGGTGCTTGGAAGTCCCTGAGTGCACTAAAGCTGGAGGGGAGTAAACAAAGCACAGAGGTGAGGCAGGGACCGCAGCTACCAGGATCCCGGCATCCTTCCTCAGCCTTCCAGACCTGTTGTCTGGCTTGGGATGAATTCAGTCTGAAGCCCCCATCGGGCCACCACCCTGTTTCATCCTCAGAGACCCCTCGCAGCAGCCAGACCCTCCCTTGGGCTTGGCACAAGGGTAAGTGTAAGAAACTAGAAAGCCCTAATAGATGCCAGTGGCTTACGGCTGTTGCTCAAACCTGCCCTCACAACTTTTGAGAGCCCCCACCAGCGAATTTGGACTGGTTTGCTCTGAGAGGAGCATCTCTGCCAGCCGAAGTCACAGTGTTGGGTGTTGTGTCCCTCCCAGGAGCCCCCCAAGGCTCCAGTGACTTGTGGGGTGTATACCCACACCCTCAATCCTCACAGGCTGCCTTCAGTAGCCCAAAAGCCAGGTCTGGTAGCCAGGTTTCATGCCTCAGGCTTCCCCCCCAGGATGCTGGTACCGTCCCTGCTCCCCTCAGCCCTGTTTCTGGGGTGCTGGGTGCCGCCGGCATGGGCAGGGTGGTTCGGCTCGGCGAGCGAGGGGTGCCGGCAGGGGGCAGGCAGTGCAGGCAGCACAGGCAGGCTCTGCAGATATTTAATGGGATTTTATAGCTCTGGGTTTCATCAGGAGCTGTTGTCACGGAAACAGAGATCTGCAGAGAGCCCCCGCGCTTGGCGTTAACCGCCTCGGTGCCGCACCGATGGCCGGAGGAGGATGCGCAGGACGGCGAGCAGCCCCGGGAGGCTGCTCTTAAAGGCCTGCAGTGAGTGATTTGTGCCTGGAGCTCACAGCCTCCGCCTGGCTTTGCAGAGGCAGCCGGAATGTGTTGCTTTATTTAGGACTGGGGTTTTAATGGCCTTTTAAAATCTGCTCCTGTGCTGTTGGAGCACAGGGCTGTGCCCCAGGGGGGGTGAAGGCATGCTCCGTCTCCTGTCTCTGGGTGTCCTGGGCCTCTCGTTTTCAAGCTTGGGAGATTCCCACGCAAACAAGAGGGGACAGGAGGTGAGGGTGGGTGCAGGTCTCCCAGGTTCCCAGCTTGGGGGGGGTCAAAATATCCTACCAATGCCTGGTCCCAGCACATCTCTGGCTCGGACACCTCCTCTGGGTCTGTGGCTGGACAGGAGAGGGCACCGGAGCTGCGCTGACACTGGGGTGGTGGCAGCACATGTGTCACCCCTGCACATGGCTCCCGGAGGGGTGACATCCCTGTTGCTAGGGAGGGCGAGCAGCTGAGGCCAGGCTAATCTCCTTAGTGGCCTGAGCACCATCACGAGAGTGAAAGGGAGATTAGAGGGCAGGGTGGCATTAGCAACCCGGGACGCTCATTGGAGAGGAGCAAGGAGACAACAGAGCTGGAGCTAAGCAGAGATGGAGAAGACCTTGGGGGAGATCAGCAGAGCCAGAGAGGCCTCCGTCAGCAGCAAATAGCCCAACAGCTGGGGTTTCGGAGGAAGTGAAAGGCTTTAGACAACATGCCCAGAAATCCCGGCGGAGTCATCCGCACCCCCTCCTCCCCAGGGACGAAGGTGTTGCCAGGCAGTCTGGATCCTAATCCATTCCCTCCCACCCGGAGTGGGGGGAGGTGGATGCCTTCCCACCCCCCATCATACTCACGGGGCATCAAAACATTCCCTCAAAGCACACACAGAGCAAAGACCTGCTGGATTTTACCCCACACCTAAGAGACATGGAGGAACAGGACGTGGAATATTTATTGTCCCTTTCCACGACACAAGAGGCAAAAGACGCTATTTTCTGTACAGAGTAGGATATGAGGCTCACAAAGCCTCTGTGAAGGAGTCCAGGTGCTGGGCTCCATTTTCTTGTTCCTGACACGTGGGTGTCACAGGGTCCTGTGTTTTCTTTGCAGGTGGCTAACGGGGCCAGAATGATGGATGTTGTATAGGAAGCTTTGCAGTCCGGTGGCCTGTCCCGCTGGAGCAGGGGAGTGGGGCACGGAAGGTGCTGCTCGCTGGGCTGGGCTGCTTCCACGCTTCTTCCCACAGGGAGCTCCGGAGCTGGTAAGGGAAGGAAAAAAATAATGCCTGCTATTACTGCTTGCTGTTTGTTCCTTCCTCTCAGCTGTCAAGGAAACCATGGTGTGGTTCACATACCCAGCTGGTATGGCTGCAGTTGCTGACGTGTTACGTCCTTTTAATCCGTACCCAAAATAGCTTCTCCACCCCTCCATTTGTGCCGGCTTACACAGCACCTTTCACTGTGCACTCCCGCCTGCCGTCATCCGTTCTCCCGCCCAGTGGTGTGGACTGGGACACCAGACTTTTCCTTAGAATCATAGAATAGTTTGGGTTGGAAAGGACCTTTTAAACGTCATCTAGTCCAACCCCCTGCAGTAAGCAGGGACATCTTCAACAAGATGAGGGTGCTCAGAGCCCCGTCCAACCTGACCTTGAGTATTTCCAGGGATGGGGCATCCACCACCTCTCTGGGCAACCCCTGACAGTGTTTTGCCACCCTCATGGTAAAAAATGTCTTCTTTGTACCTAATCTGAATCTCCCCTCTTTTAGTTTAAAACCATTACCCCTTGTCCTGTTGCAACAGGTCTTACTAAAAAGTCATCTTCAAGGCTGAGGAAGCAGAATTGAACCTTTTACATGCACGAGTGTGGTCAAGACAGGACTGTCACTCTTCTGCCAGAGAGGCTTGCAAAGAGATGGAATGAGTCAAGGTTGTAGTAGGATATATGGAATCACCCCCAGGTATCTCCAGGAAAAGAGAGATAGAAAGGGCTTGTGCCATGTTAGGGGCAGAAGGCAGAGAGATCAAGAGGGTTTGGAAAAGGAGACAGCTTGGAAGCAGGTTCAGAAATGACAGGGTTTGAGGAGAACAGCATGAAGAGATGTTAGAGCAGCTTATGTGCTGCTGAACTTGGTCCCTGTGGGGGAGATTCTGGGTGGAGGGGATGGGATGTGTTCAGGGTGGAAAAGAAAGCAGAGAAAAACAGGACCCAAAGTGGGAGTTAAGGGCACATGGTGCTGGATCTGTGCCACAGAAGTGGCCACAAGCCGGTGACCAGACCAGAAGAGTGGAGGGGGGGAAGATCTCTCAGCCAAGCACTTGGAAAAAGAAAACCAGAGTAGAGGTGTAGAAGAGACAAAGCTACAACCTTTCTGTCTCAAATACAGGAGGAAGAGGGTCATGAGAAGCATGGAGAGAAATCTCCAGCTGTTTCAGCAGCCCGCAGAAGCAGTGGGATGTTTGCCCATCTTTTACATGCAGAAAAGGACAGGCGTTTAAAATAACGGGCTGTCCTGCCTTTTGGCCTCAGCAGGGTCCCAGGCTAGTGCCTGGTTCGCGTGGCCATGCTGCCCCATCAGATCCAGCGTGGTGCCAACGTGGCAGACCTGTCTTGGTGCTGTTAGACATGCAGGGTGGTCACCGTGTTGTCCTCTGCCGGTGACGGGACCGTGGCCGTGAGCAGCAGCAGCCCAAAACCTGTAGGTATGTATGACCATGGCACTGTGTGTGCGTCTGTACGCCACCTCGTCTGTCAGTGGTGGTGTGCCCTGTGTCCCATCGACATCTCCCCGACTTGGGTTCGCCCCTCTGGCCCTTTCCCGGAGGAGCACCGTGTGCTCTGATCGCAGGAAGCTCTCCTGCTGTAATCAAAACCCTGGGGGGACGCTTGCCACCTTGGCAGCTGTTTCAGGCCCAGCTTCCCTTGGAGGGGGAGGATTTCCCTTCTCCACACCTGCAAAAACAAGGGGCCCTGAGTCACTGCCTGCAGGGCGCAAGGGCCAAGAGGGGTCCCCCTTGCACCACGCTCACAGGAGTAGGAGCCGAGGAGAGGGGTACCAGGTACATGAGCCTGAACTCTGCCTGTCGCTGTGGGATTTCCTTCCCCTGCCCTCTGAGTTTTCCCCTTTTTTTGGCCCTTTTTGGAAGGTGATTTCAGTACAGTGTGGTCCTGTCGTGGTTTAACCCCGGTGAGCGGCTAAACACCACCAGCCACAAAACAGCTGAACCCCCGCCTGCCGATGGGAAGCGGTGAATGAATTCCTTATTTTACTTTGCTTGCCTGCTCAGCTGTTGCTTTACCTATTAAACCGCCTTTATCTCAACCCTTACCCTTCCAATTCTGCCCCCCATCCTGCTGAGGGGGGAATGAGCGAGCGGCTGCGTGGGGCTGAGCTGCCCACTGGGGTTAACCCACGGCAGGTCCCAAGCCTGTGCTGGTTTTGGCATCCGAGAGCGTGTGTTTGCAGAGGATCCTGCTGGAGCTGATGCTCCTCTCGAGCCCTCCTCCCTGTGAGCCTCCTGCCCGATGCTTTGTGGTCCCCAGGAGCTCTCCCAGTGGGACGTATCGTGCTTCTCCATCGCTCCCGCTACCAGTTGTCAGGACATTTCTCCATCCCCCGTCACGGCTGCCAAGGAAGACGGGAGCTCAGCGTGTGAGCCTTGTCAGCTCTGATCTCCGACTCCCATCCTGCCCAGGCAGCTGTGTCTATTCAGCCGCAAGCAGCTCCATCCCTAAACTGTAAAGGAATGGGAAAAGCTGCCGGGCTTCTGCTTAACAGCTCAAAGGACCCGTTGTGGGCGAGCGAGGTCAGCAAAAGGGGAGTGCTGCAGCTCATTGAGAAAGGCGTGCGGACCACGGCAGGGCACGCACACAATGGCTCGGTGTCCTCCTCCGGTCTGGCTCAGCGCTTGTCCTACCCTCAGAGCTTCAGCTAGATGATTCAGAACTGGTTTGTGGTTGAAGTGACTCAACCGGTGTCCTTTTCTGTCGTCACCCTATACCATCTGCTGCCCACCACGCAGCAGAGCGAAGGCAGAAAATCAATCATCGATCCATCCCTCCCCGCCCTGAGCTTGCTGCTGGCCTGCGTATCCAAAGGAAAGAGAGCAAGGGTTGGATGCAAGGGGGACTCTTCTTCCTCAAACAGGATGAAGCTGTCGTGTACCAAGCAGACACGTTGCCCCGTTGCTCAGGCTGTTGCCTGGTTTGTGGGAGGGAGGAAGATGCTCCTCTTCCACCCGGGCGATGCTAACCACAGGCCCAGCCAGGGGCGCAGGACACGTTGCAGCCTTTGCTGGTGGGTGCCATCGTGCCATGGCAAAAATCTGTGTACGCTGTGGGAGGAGGAAGCGATTTCCAAGTCTTTCCAAAATGTTTTGCCAGTGCTCTGCAGAGCTACTGCAATCTCAGGTCTGCTGGGGATGACCACAAATAGCATCTCTCGGCATGGGTTTCCAGCCCGGCGATCCCTTGGTCAAGCCTCAACTACTCATTGCCCAAATTACCGTTAATGTTCAGTAGTTCCGGTGCTTTCCTGTTGTCCTGCTGCTGATGATGATGGCATGAGATGCCACCTGCATTTCCAAAGGGGTCTTTTGCAGTCTCCTAAAGAAGCTGAGCTCCCATGGGATGAGAGGGGAGGCTCCTACATGACCACAACCCCTTATTTACAGGCTAAAAGACAGGAAACAAAATACATCAGGAAGACTGTGAATAGGAGGAATATTTCTGACAATATTTTGGTAGGAAAAAACCCCAAGCCTAACCGTGAAGGGCTGCAGAAGGACCACACCTGGATGCTTGGCGGCTTGTCGCATCTCAAAGGGGTTGTCTTGCCCCATGTGCCTTTCCCTTTTACCTCCGTGAGCAGGGGGATGCTCCGAGCTCTCGCCACTTTGGAGCGAGACGTGAGGTTTATGGGGTATCCGTGGCCATGTCAGCCCAGTGCTCTGCAGTAGTTAAAACCCAAAATCCCCCTCGGAGATCTGGGAGTCCCTGGGAGAGGAAGGGGAGGAAGGAAAAGCAACCACAGTGGTGGCTTTTGTTGTTTTAAATGCCTTGTGCTGCCTGCGGCTCTGGTTCCCCTGCTCGAGGAGGGACGTCGTAAGCTGGATAAGGGGCAGAAGGAGGCAGCAAGGACTGCGGGGTAGACCTGGGGCTGCTTAATCCAGAAAAGGGGCACCAAGGAGGCGTACGAAATTATAAACTGGAGATGTTTGTGTCTCTTCTGCAAGAGCTTAAAAAAAAATGCCGAGCTGTAGTTTCACAGCCCTCCTCTTTACAGGGTGTTGCCGATGCTTATGGTTTACACGGGTTAAAAAAAGCAACCAAATACATTTATGGAAGGAAAAGGTGGGAGGATGTGAGAAAATTCACTGGCTGAGAAAGAGGAGAGAGCGTCAGTGGGCGTGCAAGGGAATATTTGGGACCTGCGAGGAGCGGAGAGGGAGGGAGGGAGCAGTCGGCTGGGTTCGTGCTGTGTTTTGGGAAGGGGTTTGGCCTGGGGGAGAGCCGGGCAGCGGGAGGAGGACAGCTCTGCCTGGAGGAGCTTCTGCAGGTTGAGGCTTGGGTTGGGGGATGTGGAAGAGCCTGGGGGGGAGAGGGGGCTGCTGGATCTGAGCGGGGGCTGTTGGGCAGAGGAGGCTTTGCAGGGGGATGAAGAAGACAAGCGGTGCATTGAGTACAGGCTCCTGCTTGCTTTCAGCTCTTTCTTGCTACGTTGCGGTCCAGCTGGCAGCTGGGGGGAC